TCCTACCTACTCAGGAGGCTGAGATCTGAGGATCTCAGTTCAAAACCAGCCTGGGCAGGAAAGTCCGTGAGACTCTTATCTCCAATAAACCACTAGAAAACCAGAAGTGGTGCTGTGGCTCAAGGGGTAGAGCGCTCGCCTTGAGCTGAAGAGCTGAAGGACAGCGCCTAGGCCCAGAGTTCAAGCCCATGACCAGAAAAAAAAAAAAAAAGGAAGGAAAAAAAAAGTAATACACATTCCAGGGCTGGGAAGGTGGCTCAGTGGTAGAGCGCTTGCCTTGCATACATGAGGCCCTGGGTTCGATTCCTCAACATAAGCAGAAAAAGCCAGCAGTGGTGCAAAGAGAAAAACACATTTCAGAGGTAGCAATTCCCTGCCTTTGTTTAAAGGTACCAGTACCAGAAGTGTGAGTACGTGAAAACTGGAATGCCCACGATGCAGATGGTGACATAACTTGCTACTGTTCTGAGAGGATGCTGTGGCCGTCCTCATGAGATCCACAAGAGTGACAGGTGATGTCACACAGCAGAGCAGATGCCAGATGCAGGGAGCCCTAACTAGCAACTATCTGCCACTGCCACCTTTGCCAAGGAACTTCAAATTGAGAACAAGCCCCAGTCTACTGCCTGGTGCTGAGAATGAAATAGCCACCACTTTGAAAGGATAAAAGAAGGGAGCTCACTCTGCCTCTCCCTCCCCTTCCACAGGCTAGCACAGTGCCACACAGAGGGGACAGGACAGCCAGGGGCCAGACAACCAGAAGTGTGAACCCAGGTGCCCCAGGCTGCCCCTCTTCCTCCCCTCAGGGGGAGCCAGGCAGATGGCATGGCTTGGCTGTCTGGGTTCGGACAGACACAGCCAGGAGGGTAGCCCAGGACCGCCTCAGAGCTGAGCCCAATGTTCCCAGCTTGGAGGCAGTGTTCTACTGGCTTCCAATCCCAGAAGGCCAGCCTCCCGAGCCAGCCTGGGAAACTACCCTGGGGCCTCCCAGCAGTGTCACAACAAGGAGTGGCTGGTTGCACAACACTCTGGTGCTCCCAAGCACCGGGTATGACCTGAAGCGGCACACCCGCTGGCCCCTGCCCAGCCTGGCAAATCCCACTTTCCTGGGACAAATGGAAATGCAACCTACTAAACTCATGGGGCGCCACCAAAGCAGTGCCAAGAAGGAATGAAACGCCCACATCAAAAGAAGGAATAGCTCAGACAACTTGGTTTAACCTCAAGGATGCAGAAAAAAAGAATAAACTCAACCCAGTATAGTATCAGCAGAAGGAAAGAACAAAGATCACAGAAGAAAATAAAGCAGATAGAAACTAGAAAATTTTTTAAAAAGATCAATGAAACTGAGTTGATTTTTTTCAGAGCTGAGGACTGAACTCCAGGCTCGTACTTGTCAAGCTAAATTCCCAGCCCACTGAGTTGATTTTTTTGAAAACTAAAATGGATACATCTTTAGCTAGATTATGGGGGAAAAGAGGACTCAAATAAAAATCAGAAATGAAAAAGCAGATATTAAGACTGATAACACAGAAACATAAAGGACATAAGAGACTATTATGAACAACTGAATACTAAAAGTTGGATACGGGACAAATCTCCAGATGCATACAATCTACCAAGATTGAGTCTTACAAATTCAGATATGTGCTATTTTATAAGAAATGACTAAATTCTTCACAACAAAACAGTAGAAATAAAAAGCTCAGAATGCAGGGCATGGCGGTACAGGCCCATAATCCTAGCTGAGGCAGGAAGATCAAAATGTCAAGTTAGCCTGGGAGCTTGTCTCAAAAAAAAAAAAAGCTAGCAAAAGATATGTTTGATAAATGCTAATGAAGAGAGAACTGTTAGGCCAGTAACTGGTGGCTCATGCCCACAAACCTAGCTACTGAGGAGGCTAAGATCTAGAGGATCTCAGTTCAAAGCCAGTCTAGGCAGAAAAGTTCTTAAGACTCCATCTCCCATTAACCAGCAAAATGTCAGATGGAGGCTCATGTGGTAGAGTGCCAGCAATGAGCAAGAAAGTCAAGTGAAAGCATGAGGACTTCAGTTCAAGCCCTGGTGCTGGTATACACACACACACACACACACACACACACACACACAGACAGAGGCACATGTGCTTGCTCACAAGCATGCAGAGAGAACTGTTATAGGTATTTTCATATGAGATCAGACAGCCCATATGGGGCCTCCCCAGGGATAGCAGGGTATCACACAGTGATTGCAAAGACAGGCCAAGTCCGCCCAACTAGATCTGTGCCCCAGGTATATAATACAGATGGATGTCCCACATCTACACAGCCTGGACACAAAAATGTCCCAGATTTTGTATTTCTTTTTTTAGATCTTGCCATAGTTGCATATCCATAATAAGCTCTAGGAGTAAGTCCCAAGCCTGAACACAAAACCTGTGTATGTTTCATACCCGCCTCTTGTACATAGCTGAAGGTAATGTCATACAATGTTCTTAGTGCACCTGCATTTTGACTATAGCTCATCATGTGTGGATTCCTCAACTTGTGCCACGCAGAAAGGCCTGGTCTTCGAAGTCCTTGAGAATCTGGATTCTTGCCACACATGCAACCTATAACTCTGCTGCTGTTTCTTGTGCCTGGAGTTTTGGGTGGATGCAAGAGAGTATCTCATAGACCTGGACCCCTGGGAGCGGAGGTCAGATCGACAGCACACTCTGCCATCTGCGCCCCCAGACCCTCATCCTGTGTCCATCACTTACAGTCCTCCAGCAAGCTGCTCGGCCCTGCAACTATTTGTTACTTATTTTTGCATTTTTTAGCACTTACCACAATGGCTGGTAGGGAACGACACTCAATAAATGTTAGCTGAATGGCATTTTATGTACGTGCTAAAATTCGAATTTTAAAGACTATGAAACCAATATGAAAAATGCCTGTAATATACATTTCTATTTTTAAAAGCACAGTGTAAAACTGTAGGTGTACCCTGATTACAGATGTAAAAGTTATCTATGTGTGGGGACAAAATTGAAGGGAATGAAGAACCGTGCAAATAGTTCCTTAGGTAAGGTGGATGGTGACTTCTGGTTTTTAATTTCTACTATTGTTAAATTAGTGCTTCTGTAATCTTGGAAAGGAGACAGAAATGGCTGCATAACTTTAAGCTACTCAAGAGAAGAGTTCCTACAGCACAAGGAGCTGTTTTTCAAGCCATAGAAATCTTTGCTCCTAGGGTCAATTTTGCTTCTCCTTCTAGAAGTCATGGATTCGGGAACAGGGACTGTCCCTGAACAGTGGCACTGACTAGAAAAGGATTCCCAGCACCGGATAACACTGCTTCCTCCCATCGCTCAGACCTCTTCTATCTAGGCCACCAAAGGCCTCAGCAGTTACCAGAGTTACACAGGACAGTCTCTCCATTAGCTTCTACCTCTATGAGGAAACCTTCTCTATGTTACCAGGACAGGAAACCAGGGCATTAGAGAGAGTTTTGCTCACCCAGACCTTTGTCTGTGTTTAAGACAGTTCCAAACAGAAAGGAACCGGGGATCCGTGCAGAAATGGCTAACTCCAGGCCCCAGGCATGGGTGTGTGAGATGAGCCCCAAGCATCTGGTCATACCAGAAAGCAAGAAAGGTATCCATAACCACTAGGGTCACAGCAGCACAACTCAGGAGCCGGTATGAAAACGCTCCCACAACTGAATCTCAATTGAATAATCACAACTGAATCTCAGTAGGAATAATAACTGTCAGGAGTTAGGTATAATAGCACACACCTGTAATCTCAGTCTGGAAGGCTGAGAGGCAGGAAAATCCCAAATTTAGAGCCAGACTAGGATACACAGTGAGCCCATGTCTCAAAAACATCAAAAAAGAAAAAGAATAATAACTGTGAGTAAATTAAAACATACCACATATGTTTAGATTTGTGAATTCATAATTAAAAGTCTAATGCTAAATACTCTATTTGTAGAGGATACTAGAGAACCAGCCCCTAATTTTGAGAAGCAGCAAATGTAGTATAACCAGCAGGCTGCCCTGCCTTCATATATTAACCAGGCCCTGCTATGGTCAGGCAAGATGACAGGAGAGCTGAGAGACAGAACATTCCCCCAAGGTGGGAAAAGAGACCATCAGCTAACACAGTGGCCACCTTCTGTGACGATGCATTGCCCAGAGCAATGCACACAAAACATGCATGCATGGGTCTATAACCTACCAGTGCTGGGCAGAGTGCTGGGGGCAGGTGAAAAAAGGAGCATGTGTTTTCAATGGTCTAATCCTGGTGAAAAGAAATGCCACATGACGAACAATCCACGTGACTTACAGAATTAACCAATGGAGAGGAGTGGCAACCCAGCCTCCAACAATGCAGACTTGATCTGGACCCTAGACAAAACAGGGACCATGGGACCAGCTGTTCCACATGAACCCTGGCTACATATTCATTTACTAGTAGTACAGATCATTGTATCTGATGTAAAAACAATATTTCACTGGGGTTTAGACACATAGAGAGATGATGTCTGGACTTTAAGAATATCTGGGGTTGGACTGAGAAGTTGGCTCAGTGGTAGAGTGCTTGCCTTGCATGCATGAGGCCCTGGGTTTGATTTCTCAGCACCACATAAGCAGAAAAAGCTGAAAGTGGTGCTGTGGCTCAAGTCGTAGAGTGTTAGCCTTGAGCTGAAGAGCTGAGGGGCAGTGCCCAGGCCCAGAGTTCAGGCCCCACACCTGACCAAAAAAAGAAAATGAAAACAAGGGGTTGAGGAAAACATGCAAAGATACAAACTAAATGACTGGCCAGGACGCCAATGCTTTAGAAATTGGGGCATGACTGGGTTAGCAGATTCACAAGATTATTCTCTTTACCTAAGGATGTGTTTGAAACTTTCAAAAAAATTCTGATAAAAAATAAATGAAAAAAACAAAAATAAAAATAAAATAAAAAATAAATGAAAGCTCTTTCTTATTCTCACAGTTGATGGGTGGGGAAGACATGTCAAGGAGGTCTTACCTTCTCATTAACTGGATAAAAATCTTCCTAGGTAAGGGGTAGACAAAGGTGTCGAGCACGACCTTCAGGTAGTTCAGGGAGACGTAGCCACCTCTGCAGGGGTCCCCTGCGCTCAGGGCTTTTTCAACCTTTTGGTAGGACTTCAAAAGCTGCAAAGGAATAAACATCACAAAATAAACATCACGGAGTCACTCTGCCTTCTTACTTTTGCCAGAACCTCTTCATATCTTCCTCTCTGAAAGCTGATCAAAAGGGTTCCATGGGCATGTATGGAAGTTCAAATGTTTAATTGACAATCTCACTACAAGACAGCATCCCCAGCCAGTGACAGTGCACCCGTGACAAGCAGACAAGTTTCTTAGGGGAAAAACAGCACAGATGAAGAATCTACCTCCAATTTCAACACTAAAAATAATCCGTGGCTCTGCCAGTTTGATACATCTTTCCCCATATACTCCATAGCGCCTCCTCCTGTGGGCCTATCCTATGCCTCTCCTGGGTAAGTCAGGCAGATCAAGCACACAAGATGCAAGCATGTTATTAAAAATAGAAGTGGCAGCTGGGCGCTGGTGGCTCATGCCTGTAATCCTAGCTACTCAGGAGGCTGAGATCTGAGGATCATAGTTCAAAGCCAGCCTGGGCAGGAAAGCCTGTGAGACTTTTTTTTTTTTTGGGTCTGGTCATGGGGCCTGAACTCTGGGCCTGGGCACTGTCCCTCAGCTCTTCAGCTCAATGCTAGAGCTCTATCACTTGAGCCACAGCTCCACTTCCGGCTTTTTTCTTTTTGCTTATGTGGTGTTGAGGAATCAAACCCAGGGCCTTGGGCACGCAAGGCAAGCGCTCTGCCACTGAGCCACCTTCCCAGCCCCAAGGCTATAACACTCTTATCTCCAACAAACCACTCAGAAAACTGGAAATGGTGCCGTGGCTCAAGTGGTAGAGAGCTCGCATTGAACTGAAGAGCTGAGGGACAGCACCCTGGCTCAGAGTTCAAGCCCCACGACGGACAAAAAAAAAAAAAAAAAAGAAGTAGCTTTTACAAGAGGGAAAGTTATGAATCTAGAGATTGCACAAACAGAGTATACCCTGCACAGTTTTTCAATCGTTCCTTTTTTTTTTAAATGAAGAATTAACAAGAACCTAGGTGAGTGAGCTTGGCTGTGAGCTCCAGAGTGGAGCGCATCAGGCTCACCCCTGGTCTCTGATGTGAGTCACGGAGATACAGGGAGTTCTGCCACATTTCCAAAGGTCTCCTGCTGTTTATTATTGGAAAATACCAGTATTCACCCATATTTTTCAGCCATCCTACTTTGTTTTTTATAATATAATTTTATTGCTATACTTAAAATGTTGTACAAAGGGGTTACCGATTTCACAAGTCAGGTAATGAGTACATTTCTTTATTAGGACAATGTCACCCTTTCCTTCACTTTCCTTCACTTCCCCCTCAGGTCCCTGCCCTCAAGTTACATAGCTCCTTTTCCACACATTGTCTACTGAATGCAATGACTGCATTTGCTTTCACTTTGGCTTGATGGTTTTTGTCTCCTGCAAGCAAGGATACGATGACCAATAATACCACTGGCACTTGGAGAAAGCGAGTTACTCCGATACAATATGGCTTACATGTTCAAGTCTCACAAGAAATGGGAAGCAGGTGAGTGATGTCCTTCCATGGACACAGGATATTGGAAATCTTTGAAATATTTAGAGAGCTAACTTTCTCAGGACCCCAGCTGCTTATAATGTTGGATAAAACTAACCCCCAATGCAACTGGATTTGCACGTATCTTCCAGACAGAGGGGTTTCAATCAGACACAATGCTGGGGAAGGACTCAGGGAGAGGCAGGGCCCTGGCATAGAACAAGGTCTTCACTTCCATTAGATGAGTGAAATCTATATTTAATATAATGACATTTGGTCTCCAACAAGGGTTTGGTTTAGTTTTGGAGTATGTTTCTTAGATGATTGAAAGCTTCGAATGAAATAGAAATGGTACCTTATATGTAACCTCCTAAGAATTTTCATTATTGTTGGTTATAAGGAAATTACAACCTTGTATAAGATCAAGCAATTCAACAAAATATAAAAAGGAAATAAAAGCCAGGTACTGGTGGTGGCTCACAACTGTAATCTACTCAGGATGCTGAAATCTGAGGACTGCAGTTCAAAACCAGCCTGGGCAGAAAAGGCCATGGGAATCTAATCTTCAATTAATCAGCAATATTCCAGAAGCAGAGTTGTGGCTCAAATCGTGGAATGGGAATCTTCAGGAAAAAAAGCCAAGTGAGAGTGGAAGGCACTGAATTTAAGCCCTGTGTTGGCACTGGTGCACGCATGCATGCACATGTGCATGCACACACCCACACACGTGCTCATGTCCATACACACACACATACACACACACATACACAGAAGCATTACCATCCACAATTATGAACATATTATGTCAAAGCTCCCAACATGACCATGAGAAAATACACTGAGTTATAAAAAATGGAGTCACACGAGACTTTCGGGCTTGACACAGCTTTACTACTTTGACATTAAGCTAGTGTATATCCAGTGTTCTTGTAGCTGGCAGATGGCATGCCATCCTATTATTGATGGGCTGCAAAAAGGCCCCCCCATTTTCCACCTTTATGCATGTCATTTACACATTCAGTTTTTCCATTTTCCTGAGCCCGTCTACGTGAGATCTCTGCAGGCATGCTCTTAGGACACCCTGCCCTTTACAGTTCCTGGAAGGAACTGCACTTGTGAACACCAGCACTTGTGCATCGCCCCTCCCTGACTGCCAGGTCACATGACCTTGGGAGCGTGCGCTCCTGCCTGCTTTGCTGATAGCTACCCAGAACAAAGCACAATTTTTGGCATGTGGTGAGCACTCAATATTTGGTAAATGTGGAAATATTTTTATCAAAAATGTTCTAAACAAAAGTTGCAAAACAGAGAAAGCTGTTCAGTACATTAGTAAACAGGGAAATGAACCTCAAACTCACAGCTGAAACGCCATCTGCACTGGACGGCAGAATGAGAAAGTCTGACCATGTCAAGTACTGGGGCGCATGTGGAATGGGAGCCCCCATATGCTTGGGGGAGGAGGGGAGTAATTGATCTCAGGAAACCATGTGACGCTGCAAATGGAAGAAGACTGTTCTGCTGCCCGGCAAGCACTGGGCTCTCGCACCAGGAGGCCGGCCGCCACCTGTCGGCAGTGGGACTCACACCCAACAAGCAATCCAGACGCCGCCACGGGAGACCATCACGTGTGGATGGCAGAACACACAGCAGTGACAGCGTAATGCAACTAGCTCAGCGCTGTGTACCAATCTTACTGTGAGCACAACAGGATGAAAACAAGTGGTTGGGACAAAGACAGGAGAGAGAAACAAATACCAAATAACAAATACTGAGAAAAAGAAGTATCAGGAAACATCATAAAAATAAGTGCACATTCCCTGAAAAATGAACTAAATGAAAGTCTGAACCCAAGGCCGGGTGCAGTGCTCATACCTGTAATCCTAGGTAATCATGAAGTAGAAATAAAGAGGATTATGGTTCAAGGCTAGTGGGAGCAAAATACTGGTGGGTCCCCATTTCAACAATAAAAGTTAGGCTCGGTGGGGCACCCCGTCATCCTGACTACTAGGGAAGCACAGGCAGGTAGACTGCAGTCTAGGCCAACTTTGGCATAAATGTGAAACCCTATTTGACAAATAGCTAAAACAAAAAGGGCCAGGTGTGTTGATTAAGTTGTAGAGTGCCTGCCTAGCAAGGCCCTGAATTCAAACTCCAGTACTACCATGTTCATTCATCTTTTTCTTTTTTTCTTTTTGTCAGCTCTTTAGCTCAAGGGCAGCGCTCTACCACTTGAGCCACAGTGCCATTTCCAGCTTTTTCTGCTTATATGGTGCTGAGGAATTGAACCCAGGGTCTCATGCTTGCAAGGCAAGCATTCTACCACTGAGCCACCTTCCCACCCCCACCATGTTCATTTATATACATGAATTCGTCACAAGGAAATTCTAAAAATTATAAAACAATGAAGGGGATGGGAAGGAACATATCAGGGCTAGGAAAACAGAAAAGAAATAAGAATTTATAGTGATAAAATTACAAATAGCAAAGATGAGATGAATGAAAACGGAGAAACTGAGCAAAAGGATTAAAACAATCTGAGAGCAGATGACAGCTGTCAATGGTTGACAAAGACAGTTCCATATAGGGACAATGGGGACACAGATGCAGGAAGGAAAGATGGAGGGGGCAGGTAGAGGTGGTCCAGCAAGATGGCCCCGCACTGCAATGCAGGACATTTCCTGAAATGAAGGAAGAACTGAGTGTGTATATCAAAAGAACACACAGAATTCCAGGAAATCTGGCCAAAATGCTCTGCACCAGGGTATAGCTTAGTATGGATTTTTTTAACTTCAAAAATCAAGAAAAATTATTTTAGGCAGGTGTCAGTGGCTCACACCTGTAATCCTAGATACTCAGGAGGCTGAGACCTGCAGATAGTGGTTCAAAGCCAGCCTGGGTAGCAAAGTCCAGGAGACTCTCGTCTCTACTAATCTTCAAAAAAAAAAAAAGGCAGAAGTGGAGCTGTGGCTCCAGTGGTACTGTTAGCCTGACCTCCACCATCTTAGGAGCCACTTCGTCATCTTAGGCTTTGTGGTAAAGAATGGCCTTTCCTATTAACATCGTGAAAATGGCAATACTTCCCAAGGCTATCTACAAATTCAACGCAATACCTATCAAAATTCCACCCTCATTCTTCAAGGAAATAGAAGAGGCAATCCAAAAATTCATATGGAACAATAAAAGACCCCGAATAGCAAAAACGCTCCTCAACGGAAAGAACACTGCTGGAGGAATATCAGTACCAAATTTCAAACTCTACTATAAAGCCATAGTAATCAAAACAGCTTGTTATTGGCATAAGAACAGACCTCAGGACCAATGGAATAGAATTGAAAACCCAGAAATGAACCTACAGACCTATAGCCATCTAATCTTCGATAAGGGAGCTAAAACAATAGAATGGAAGACAGACAGCCTCTTCAGTAAATGGTGCTGGCAAAACTGGTTAACTACATGTAGAAAACTAAAGCTAGATCCTTATATATCACCCTGCACCAGAATCAA